TAAACCAGTACATGGTACATGGGAGGAGAAATTAGGTCTAAGTTTTGAAGTTGAATGCAACAACCTTATCCGTTGATTGATTGGGGGAAATTGGTGGAACTTTCCTTCCTCAATCTGAAGATCTTAGTGTGGGGATTTAAAGCAAGTTTATTTTTCTGGGAGGCTGAGGCCAGAGGATTGCTTGAGCTCAGAAGTTTGAGACCAGTTTGAGGTCAACATAGAGAGACCTCATTTCTATAAAAAAATTTAAAAGTAAAACTTATTTGTGCATGATGGCATGAGCCTGTGCTCTCAGCTGTGGTGGGAGAGTGGCTGAGGTGGGAGAGTGGCTGAGGTGGGAGGGTTGCTTAAACCCAGCAGGTCTAAGCTGCTGTGAGCTGTGATCATATCATTGCACTCCAGCCTGGGAAACAGAGCAGGTCACTGTCTCAAATCAAACAAAACAAACAAACCAAAAAGGTCAAGGGGATAGGGAACAAAGTATTTGGAAGGAAAATAAGTCAATAAAGTGAATTGAGATATTTTTTATGAACATATTCCAGGTCTTGACCAAACTATTTAGCTGTGAGTTCATATTTATTAATCACTGTTGTTTTGTTGTTGTAGTGAGTTACCAATTATTACTTATTGAGATGGAGTCTCGCTGTGTCGCCCAGGCTGGAGTGCTTGGGCGTGATCTTGGCTCATTGCAACCTCCACCTCCTAGGTTCAAGCAATTCTCCTGCCTCAGCCTCCCGAGTAGCTGGTATTACAGGTGCATGTCACCCATAAGAGGTCAAGAGATCGAGACTGTCCTGGCCAACAAAGATAAGCTGGGCATGGTGGCACACACCAGTAGTCCCAGCTATTCGGGAGGCTGAGGCAGGACAATCACCTGAACTTGGAAGGTGGAGGTTGCAGTGAGTCGCGCCACTGTACTACAGCCTGGGTGACAGAGCAAGACTCTCTTTCAGACAAACAAACCAACAAAAAACCTAAAAAAAACAGGAGCATTGGTATCCCAGAAACAAGAAGAAAATGCTCTAGCAGCATATAAGCAGATCAATCAATGCTGGAGGGGAAGTCAGGGCAAGTTCTCCATGACATCTGTATCAGTCCATTCTTATGCTACTAATAAAGACATACCCAAGACTGGGTAATTTATAAAGGAAAGAGGTTTAATGTACTCAGAGTTCCACATAGCTGGAGAGGCCTCACAATCATGGTGGAAGACAAAGGAAGAGCAAAGGGATGTCTTACATGGCGGCAGACAAGAGAGCATGTACAGGGAACCTGCCTTTATAAAACCATCAGATCTCATCAGACTTATTCACAATCATGAGAACAGCATGGGAAAAACCTACCCCCAAGATTCAATTAACTCCCACCCAGTTCCTTCTTACCACATGTGGGACTATTACAATTCAAGGTGAATTTGGGTGGGGATACAGAGCCAACCCATATCAACATCACATTTGAGCTGAATCTTTTTTTCTCTTAAATATATAATACACACAGGGTTTCACTGTGTTGCCCAGGTCTCAAACTCCTGGACTCAAGCAATCCTTCTGCCTCATGCTCCCAAAGTGTTCAGATCACAGGCATGAGTTAACATGCCCAGTCTGAGCTGAATTTTAAAGGGGAAATAGAATTGACCTCGTGAAGAAGGGAATGATGAGCCAGAAAGCTCAGGAAGTGCAAAGACTGGAAGTTTGCCTGGCCTTTGTGGAAAGCAGTTCTGTGTGGTAGAACTACAGTGTGAATTGGCCATGGGAAGAGGGATACAAGAGCAGGAAAAAGTAGCTGTAAAGGTAGGTAGAAGCTGGGTGCTGTGGCTCACTCCTGTAATCCTAGCACTTTGGGAGGCTGAGGCAGGTGGATCACCTGAGATTGGGAGTTTGAGACCACTCTGACCAACATGGAGAAACCTGTCTATACTAAAAATACAAAATTACCCGGGTGTGGTGGCCCATGCCTGTAATCCCAGCTACTCGGAAGGCTGAGGCAGGAGAATCACTTGAATCCAGGAGTCAGAGGTTGCAGTGAGCCAAGATCATGCCATTGCACTCCAGCCTGGGCAACAAGAGTGAAATTCCATCTCAAAAAATAAATACGTAAAAATAAAAATAAAAAATAAAGGCAGGTAGAAGGGACATGCAAGTGGCTTCTAATATACTGTCAATATATATTTTTCCTAGATCTGGTGGTTTGTTTCTTATGCTTCAAACTTTATATATACATTTTTATACTTTTTGGCATATATGGCATGTGTCACAATAAAAATATTTAAACATTTTAAAAGATGGGTTGGTGCCAGCTTATAAACATCATATTCAAGATAAGGGCTTTATTCTACAGGCAAGAAGAAAGCAAAATAGACTTAAGAGCATCCTCAGCTCAGCATTTTAGGAAGATTGAGTCTGGCTGCACTGCAAGGTAGGCAGAAGTCAGGGGAAGCCACAGGCAGAGGCCCCCTGAGTATGGACACTAATGATGAAGGCTTTGTCCAGCCAGCCAGGTGTGGGGAGGGCTCAGGAAAGGAAACAGAGACCTGGGTGAGGTGGAAAAGACGAGCCTTGGTGATCCACAGGAAGTAATGAGCAAGGGAAATTTAGGATCATACTAACATTTATGGATAAGGAAATTCCATTAACCCTTGCTGAACAGTAAAAATGGTTTGAAAAGGAATATATCAATTTTCTGAAACTGCAATAATACCAGTGTTGTTATTGGCCTTAACATAGTCCAATCTCTCTTGTTTTTTTCCTAATTGTATAGAAGTTTCTACAGTTTTAGTTGGCTTCTCTGTCACTTCTCAAGCCTGTTAGTTACACACTATATATGACTAATACCTGTGGCATCCTCATATTATCAAGCAATTATCACACTTTCTGTACACAAAGGCCTTTTTTTTCCTGGGTCTTTAGCATCTCTGTGGGGTAAATTTTTTTCTCTTAAAGATATAATACAGACAGGGTCTCACTGTGTTACCCAGGCTGGTCTAAAAAAAATTCCCCAAATAATAATTTTTAATCTGCTCTGTCAGAAGATGAACAGCCCAGTACTCTGTTTTCCTTTAAAAATGTAGTCATCATGCTGAGTGCAGTGGCTCATGTATGTAATCCCGTGTAGAGAGCCAGAGTAGCCCACCCACTCTGGAGGGATCAGCAGCAAGGCTGCTGTGAACTTTGGGTGAACTCCAGAGAAGTGAAACCGTAATAGGAGAACGTGTATGTCTTGGAGAAGAGCAGAGAGGCCTAGAAAAAGATAAGCAGCTCTCACTGACCTTGCTGCAAGATAGTTGTTAGCTGAAGTGTGTTAACTGAAGTATGAGAATCACAACCACAGGCTATTCTAAGAAACTGCACCCTCCCTCTGCCATGTGCTTTGTAAACATATAAAATAAAGTACTGGAGGCAGGTCGGGGCCAGAGAGACTGACATCCTCACTTTCCTGGACTGCCTGGCCCAGCTTTCTGTATGTCTGTCTCTGTGCTTTTCTTCATCCCTCACCGTTCCCTCTTAGGTCTTTGAAACCTTGGGCAGCCCGGGATGCAGCTTGCACCAGAATCCAGCATTTTGGGAGAATGAGGCCAGAGGATTGTTTGAGCCTAGGAGTTTGAGAGGAGCCTGGGCAATCTGTCTCTACAAATAATAATAATTAGCCAGATGTGGTGGAATGCACCTGTGATCCCAGCTACTCAGGAGGCTGAGGCAGGAAGATTGCCTGAGCCCCGGAAGTTGAGGCTGTAGTGAGCCATGATCATGCCACCGTGCTCTATCTAGCCCGGGGGACGGAGCAAGACCCTGTCTCAAAACAAAACAAAACAAAAATATGTAGTCATCAGTTTACATATGTTTCACCCAGTTTGTAAGCATTTAGGCCTAATTGTATTGCTTCTTCAGGTTCCATTGAGATTTGTAATTCAGTCCCAACATTCACTTCTCTAATTCCTAACAAACCTAAAATGCCGTCCTCAGTTTGTAATTTGAAATATATGTCTCTAATTTTTGTTTCAACTAGTAGGAATGACAGAATTTTACCTTAATAATTCTGACTTCAGTTTTCTGCTAAAAAGTGTTGAATCTGACTCCTAGGACTTCCACATGCTCTATCTCCATGTCATTGATATAAAGAATTTTTGCCCATCCTCATAAATATCCTCTCATGAGGTCAGACAGCAGAAGGATGAAAAACTCCACCAAAAGAGAAAGACACAGTACTCGGGGCACTGCCATTTCCTGTTCTAACAGTGCTTCTTGCAGAGGTTATTGCCTATGTCTCCTCCCACCATCCCCCTCTACCTCTCTTCTGGCATCAGACTCATGCGTCTGACCGTAAGATTGAGAAATGCGCCAAGTGTGACCATGAGACATCTTACATTTCATCCACTGAAGTTACGAGAGAGATCCACCGTTCCCTTTCTGCAGGACTGCCAGAGCCATGTCACTTGACATTTTCTCTGACTGAAAGAATGAAGCCTCCAAGACAAGTGGAGGTGAGAGGTGAGGAGTATTCTGAGAGACACGAGTTCCAGGTGCTAGTCCCCAAGGTTTCTTGAGTAACCTGATCCCATCAGAACTTCCTCTGAGATGATGAGCTACTCTTCCATCTTTCCCATAAATTCATTCTTTTGTTGTTGCTTAAGGTGGTTTGGATAAGGTTTTGTTTCCTATAACTAAAAGAATCCTAAATAATGCAGAAGTGAAAAGATCCCAGTCGTGAAACTCCCAGAGGACAGAGAGTTTTTATCACAACTCAGGCCTCATAGGTGAAGAAAAGGCTTTGTTACTATTAGAAAATCCTGCCAGAGACCACAAATAACAGTGAGTTTGGGTGGGATGGGCCTAGGGAGTCTTCAAGGTGAGGACAAAGTTTTTCATTATCAGTCTCCAAGAGCCAAAGATTCATTCACTTTCACACACCCAACTGTTTCTTCCCTCCTGTGAAAACCCAGGTTCCCAGACTCCTAATCCATATTTGAACAATGATTATAAAAGGCCAACTTTCTTCAGTCTTACCTAGTAGTTAAACAACAGTGTGTGTGTGGCTATGAAGTCTCGAACGACAGGCTAGACGTGAACTTTCAGAAGTTAGCCTCGTCACCACTGCCAAGGTCAGCGTAGTCATCTCACCCAGTTTCCTCTCTGTCTGCTATTGGCTTCACTTTGGTTACTGGTGTTTGCACGGGTTAAACTTGGATTGGTTGCAGTAGTGCACATCGAAGCCAACAAGGAAGACAGCGGAAGAAGCAGAGAATTCCTGAAGGAAGAATGATGACACAGAACATAAAAATGTCTACAACACTTGATAGTTATTTAAAAATTACATTTCCAAACAAGTTTAACAAATGAGAATGTTGTTTAGGAGCCTAAAGTACAGCTTATACTGGTGGTAGGAGATCAGGAAAAAAAATAAAAAGTAAAAAATAAAAACTCAAGTGCAGGCTACTCTATTGGTCCCATTTCTTTCTCCCAGTCCTTGCCCGACTACAATTTATTTCACAAATCCGCTCACCTCCCAGGTGTGGTTCTACCAGAATTTATAAGAGAAATCGATTATTTGCCTCCTATGAAGGCAGAATTCTAACGTAGGGTAAGAAGAGCTGTGATGAGCAAATGAGAAGCCATTGTATCAGATACATGCCTAGAAACTAACCGTGCTCAAGGAAAACTGTTGCAATTGATAGATATGATGGTCACAGATTCAGGACCCACCCCAACTTCCACTCTAAAAGCCCCAAGAACACTTACCAGATGACAGAAATAGTGTGGCACTGCATAAAAGGATGAAAGACAGGTGGACCAATGTGACTTTCACTTTCTTTTGCAACTTATTTACTTTCAAAGTATGCAGAGTGCAGCAGTAATGCAAGGCACACACAGATAACTGTTACTCGGAAAAAAGGTGATGACCCATCACCTAGTTAGCTTAGTCTACTGCCTAAGGGTACTTCCCAGAACCTTAAGTCGTCATTTTAGCTCCTCCTACTCTAGTTTCTTTTTTTTTTTCCTGCCCGCCCCCCGACCCCCACTGGATCCTCCTTTTCCTTAGCTGTCCCTGAGCAGTTTCCAAGAGACTATGTCTAATGAAATGCCACCCTGCCCAGAACCAGGACTATTGATGGAACCCCCTTCCTCCTTTTCCTTACTGATAAGGATAAAGGTGATTGCACACATAAGGTGCATTTCCAGGTATCATGAAAGAAATTAGGGAAGGTCAGGAGTATGAAGCTCAGGAAAGAGAGAAGAAGGGCACTAATCATGAAAATTCAACCAAATATGTAGTCTGAATTAGGGAAGGAGAGAGAAGAAAGGCTAACAGCTCTCTAGACCTCCCTCCTGAGTCTGAGTGCCCAGAGGCTAAAAGATGGGGTGTAGGGGCTTTAAGGCAGGAACGAAGGGCAGCTCAGGGGAAGCTTAGGAGTAGAGGCAGAAGAATGCTGTGAAAATATCTAGAATAATGAGTCTACCTGAGCTGGTATCCCTAGAGCGCCCCTGGATGTGACATGCTTTGAAATGAGCCTCTACTAACAGTAGGAATGTTTCCTTCAGGTATACTAGGGCAGAAAAAGATGCTGACAATTTCTGGAAGGGACTGGATTGGAGCTGGACCCTCCCTTTCAAGAAAAGAACTTACTTGATTTTGATAGAAGAATCCAGCATGTGACCTCACCACTGCAGATTACAAAGGGAGCACTGAGCAGACTAGGGAACTGCCTGAGATTCTGTCTTCACTCAGGTCAAGAGGTGGAAGGCCAACCACGGAAGGGCAGAACCAGTGAAAGTGCAGGTGAGGATTAGAATGTCACAGAGTCTCATTATCCCAGGCTTCACACAAACAAGCACTGGGTAAAAAAAATAAAAGGAGTCAAATGAATTAGATTTTCTCAGTCCCTCTGGGATTTCTTCCATTCTTAATCACCCACCAACGCCAGTCTCCTTGTCTTGACTCCTACTTAGTTTCCAGGACTTTCCCTCCTTCTCATACCCCAACCAGATCCTCTTGGGGCCACAGACTGACCATGTGTCCCTCCCGAGCAAGAACTGAGATCTTTCTCTTTGACCCTCTTATTTGAATCACTTACTTGAACACAACCATACACAGCCTTGCATTGCTACTGAGCTTTTCCTGGGCATATATCTTGTCTCTCCATCTAGATTAAAAGTCCCGAGAGGACAATCAGCATGAATTCTTAATTTCCCACCACATTGGTCACAGTGCTTTACATGTAGCAGGGTCTCAGTATCTTATTAATAGCAAGGAAAAATAAAAAGCCATACCACATGTCAAATACGTTCTTTGGTGACGTCAAGAGGAGTAAAAATGTTTTCTGATGTTCTGTAGACTCAACATTCCCCCTCCTGAATTCTCCCCTGGAATCACAGACTTTTTTTTTTTACTTCTACTGCTTATGTTCCCAGGTTACCTTCTCTTAACCTTCTTTCTGTCTCTGCCTGCCAGAAATGTTCTTCAGCTTTCATTGTTTGCTTACACTCTGTTTTCAACAGCGCCTTTTTACACGGAGGCCCATCCTAGCCTTCTCCTCAACAGTAGAACCCTGTCATTCCTGCCTCTCTCCCTATCGGCAGGGAATTTAGTGATATGATAAGTATGTAAACTCTATCCCCCAACTGTGAGATCCTACCTTGCTCCCCGTGTCTTAAAAATGTCACCCCCATGCTCTTCAATCCAGCATGGCTCTGTTCCTCTTGGGACATGCATGCCCTTAAAACTATAGCTTGTGCCCTTAGTTCTAATTTTGAATACTGACTAGGCAGGAATACTGTATTCCTGTACTAGAATGAAGCACACTTGAGAGAGAACACAGAATAATCTGGGAAGATATAAGTGGAAACCAGTTATATGTTAAACATCAATGGGATATGCTACATCCTTTGCACTCTACCAGAATCATGTTGAGACATATAATGCTGAGGAAGGAATTGCCAAATAAGTGGGCAAATGAACATAAGCTGAAGAGCCAGACTGTTGCTATAAACCTCTGCTGAGGTTTACTAAGTGTAAGCTCTAGGAAATTGGGATGATTTTTGTGTATTTTTTTTTCCTTGAGATGGAGTCTCGCTTTGTCGCCAGCCTGAATAGGTGTGTGGGCACCTCCTGCACCTCCTTTCTGGGGCTCATTCCGGAGACAGAAACAAGCCTGCAGTTAAAGTACCTGTCTCTCAGAGTTATCTGCTAGCATTTGCTAAGCCCCTGGAGGTGACAGAGAGCAAAGCAGTGGTTTGAGAAGTGTGTACTTTGAGAGTGCAGGCATTTGCCCCAGCTATCCTTCCTGGCTCAGTGCTGAGCAAAGGATGCTAAACTCCAGCTCACAGCTTCTGCTTGAGGAGAGAAAGGACTGGACTACACATCTAGCATCCCAACTTTACCAGCTGCTACATGAGGGACTGGCTCCTGTCTTGCCCATTTCAGGATACTAATGGGACTTGGCATATTCTAGTCTCCTGGGGGTCACTAAGAACAAATATGACGGTCTAGATGACCATAAAGATTTGAGGGGGACCCAGGCAGGATCTCTGGCTGGACTAACTGGTAAGGCTCTTTTATATTAGGCCAGTCTGTGAAGACTGAGAGAGGTGATTGTTTAATATGAAGAAACCAATACAGAATCAAGAAAAGTGAAGACATATAAAAAGGTGTTCTAAACAAAAGAAAAAGACAAATCTCCAGAGATTGACTGTAATGAAATGCACATACATGATTTATCACATGTGAAAATTCAAAATAATGGTCATGAAGATGCTCACTGGGCTGGGTGCGGTGGCTTCGGCCTGTAGCCAATCCTAGCATTTTGGGAGGCCGAGGTGGGCATATCACCTAGGTCAGGAGTTCAAGATCAGCCTGATCAACATGGTGAAACCCCGTATCTGCTAAAAGTACCAAAAAAATTAGCTGGGCATGGTGGCACACACCCATAATCTCAGCTACTCGGAAGGCTGAGGCATGAGAATTGCTTGAACCTGGGAGGCAGAGCTTGCAGTGAGCTGAGATCGGGCCACTGCATTCCAGCCTGGGCAACAGAGTGAGTCTCCATCTCAAAAAATTCTGGAGACAGCAGATGCTGGAGAGGATGTGGAGAAATAGGAACACTTTTACACTGTTGGTGGGAGTGTAAATTAGTTCAACCATTGTGGAAGACAGTGTGGCGATTCCTCAAGGACCTAGAAATAGAAATTCCATTTGACCCAGCAATCCCATTACTGGGTATATATCCAAAGGATTATAAATCGTTCTACTATAAGGACACATGCACACGAATGTCATTGTAGCACTGTTTACAATAGCAAAGACCTGGAATCAACCCAAATGCCCATCGATGATAGACTGGATTGGGAAAATGTGGCACATATACACCATGGAATATTATGCAGACATCAAAAACGATGAGTTTGTGTCCTTTGTAGGGACATGGATGAACCTGGAAACCATCATTCTCAGCAAACTGACACAAGAACAGAAAATGAAATACTGTATATTCTCACTCATAGGCGGGTGATGAACAATGAGAACACATGTACACAGGGAGGGGAGCACTACACACTGGGGTCTGTTGTGGGGAAATAGGGGAGGGACAGCAGCGGGTGGGGAGTTGGGGAGAGATAGCATGGGGAGAAATGCCAGATATAGGTGAAGGGGAGGAAGGCAGCAAATCACACTGGCATGTGTGTACCTATGCAACTATCTTGCAGGTTCTTCACATGTACCCCAAAACCTAAAATGCAAAAAATAAATAAATTAATAAAAAATACCCAAATCAATGTGATATATCACATCAACAGAGTGAAAGATAAAAACCACATAATCATAGATGCAGAAAAAGCATTTGACAAAGTTCAACATCCACTCATGATAAAAACTCTCAGCAAAATAGGTATAGAAAAAAATTACCTCAACACAATGAAGGCCATTTATGAATATTCCACAACTAACATCATAATCAATAGGGAGAAACTGAAAGCTTTTCCTCTAAGATCTGGTACAAGACATAGATTACCATTATCTCCATTTCCTTTTTTTTGAGACGGAGTTTCGCTCTTGTTCCCCAGGCTGGAGTGCAATGGCGCGATCTCGGCTCACCGCAACCTCCGCCTCCTGGGTTCAGGCAATTCTCCTGCCTCAGCCTCCTGAGTAGCTGGGATTACAGGCACGCGCCACCATGCCCAGCTAATTTTTTGTATTTTTAGTAGAGACGGGGTTTCACCATGTTGACCAGGATGGTCTCGATCTCTTGACCTTGTGATCCACCCGCCTCAGCCTCACAAAGTGCTGGGATTACAGGCGTGAGTCACCGCGCCCGGCCAGGACTCTTAGGTCATTTTTTTAGGTTTTCGTCTGGGCCATAGCTATTCATGTTTAAAATCTGAGTTTTTGTTTCTATGGTGAAATATTTTTGGAGTTTGGTGGGGCAAAAACTAAATTTGGCAACATAGCACAAATATGAACAGTGTTTGCACACTTCTTTGTTCTTGAATTGAGATTTAGTCAATTTTCTTAGCAAAGAATATTACAGTCTAATTGATTTATATTTTAATATAATTTCCAACTGAAAATTATATTAAATTCCAAAGTGATTTTTTTTGTTTTTTTTGGTTGTTGTTTTGCTGTTGTCACTTGATTTGTAACTTTTATTTAATTAATTAATTAATTAATTTTTTTGAGACGGAGTTTCGCTCTTGTTACCCAGGCTGGGGTGCAATGGCGCGATCCCGGCTCACCGCAACCTCCGCCTCCTGGGTTCAGGCAATTCTCCTGCCTCAGCCTCCTGAGTAGCTGGGATTACAGGCACGCGCCACCGTGCCCAGCTAATTTTTTGTATTTTTAGTAGAGACGGGGTTTCATCATGTTGACCAGGATGGTCTCGATCTCTTGACCTCGTGACCCACCCGCCTCGGCCTCCCAAAGCGCTGGGATTACAGGCGTGAGCCACCGCGCCCGGCCAATGTCTACACGCTCTAAAAACCTAGTTTAACGCAGCGCAGACCCCCGGCATCTCCGAGACCCGGTCCCGGGCCTGCTGCGGATGCTTCAGCCCAGAGAGGTTCAGCTCCGCGGTCCCAGGGAGGAAACAGGCCCCGCGGCCGGGCCGCTCCTCAGACTCTCGCCTCGGAAAGCGCTGCCGCGCCGGCTCCTCCCAGAAGCCGCGTCCTTCGGTTTCGAGCGCGTTTGTGAAGCGGGAACGGGCGCCCGCGGAAGGGACGCTTTGGTCAGTCCCGCCTGACGGCGCCCGCGGTCCTCTCAGGGATTCCGGCCCCGCGCTCCACGCGCAGACGGCGGAACTGCTCCGACGCCGAGAGCGACGCCCGCCCGGCCGCCATGACGGCCTCAGAGAACGCCTGAGGCGGAGCGCGCGGCCGCCCTTTCCCACGTCCCCTCGGAAAGAACGCGCTTCCGTTTCCGCAAACAAAGTAGGCTCCGCGCTTTCCGTACCGGTGGCTCCCGTGGTGGAGTCCGCAGCTGAACCCGGTCGGGCCCGAGGCGGCCCCGGCACTCAGGGCGCGCGCCCGGGTAACGCGTGCTGTGACGACCGGAGCGAACACGCCCGAGGTTCCGGTGGAGGCCGTGTAACCAATGACCGGAAGTGGGAGCTGGGAGCTCCAGTGGCGCAATCGGTTAGCGCGCGGTACTTATATGGCGGTATGTGTGCGAGTGATGCCGAGGTTGTGAGTTCGAGCCTCACCTGGAGCACTGTTTTCCAACCCAGGAAAGCACCGCTTGAAGTGCCTTTCCCCGTCATCCTACTCCACCATCTTTAACCTGTTTGGAGTTGCCCACGGAGTTTATTGTTCCTGGTTTCCTTAGCCCTCTTAGAACCAAGCGATGCTAATTACCAAGGAAATCCATGGCGCTGCAGAGGGTTAGCTGGACCCTTCTGTCTCCACTTAGAACATCATCTCTTTTTTAAAAAAAGTTATTCATTCATTCATTCATTCGTTTCTGAAAAGTAGACAGTAAAACAGCTCCTGGGAGAATTTACAACGAACTTCCTGAGGGTCCGGGAAGGTGAGGGCAGGAGCAGGGTTGGGAGAGTGAACAGGAAGGGCTTCTCCCCTCAGTCACTGTAGCCTCAAGGTACGACCAAGGAGTGGGGGGCGTGGTGTGACAAAAAGGAAGCAGATGGGAAGAGCAGGAGGTGGAAGGTTGCGGAGGTGGGGACAAACAGGAAATTAATGCTCATTGTTACATGTTCGAATCCAGAGAAAAATACCTGGCCCTCAGAGGGAGGCAGTGGGATGGAGAGACGGAGCCCTGGGATGGCCCCAGCCCAAGGAGGGGCCATGGCCAGCGCTGGTGGAGGAAGCCGGCAGAGGCCTCCGGGAGCCCCTGGGTTACCCTGGCTACTGTGTGCTTGTGCCACCCTGTGTGTTCCCGGAGTAGCTCCTGTAGGGGTTCCCGTAGAATGGCGGCCACTGGCCCTGGTTCTGAGAGCACTGGTTCCACTGCTGGGGGTACTGCCGCTACTGGTCACAGCTGGGCCGGGGTGGCTCTGTGCGGTGGGGGTGTTGGGGGGGTAAGAGGGCCGGGTGGTAACCGCCGTAGCTCCCACAGCTGTAGGCAGGTGGCGGTGGAGGTGGGGTGGGTGGGGCTGTGGAGCCCTGGCTCTAACGTCCCCGGTTGTAGGTGGCCGTAGCTCAGCTGTGGAGGGCTGCTGACGGTGGGGGTGCTGGTACTGTGCTGCTATTGGCGCTTCAGCCAGGGATGCCTGTTATTGTAGGTACAGGCCCCTGGGGGTTTCGAGCAGGGCTGTAGCTGGGGGCTGCGGTGGCTGCTGGGGTGGCGGCTGTTGCTGGGGAGCCTGGTTGTAGCTGCCTCTGTTGTTGGAGTTGTTACCCCGGTTGTTGCTACCCCAGGGGTTCTGGCTATTGCCACCATCTCCGCTGCTCTAGAAACCTCCTCGGTAGTTGCCTCCTCCAATGCTGCCTGCCCCTCAGTTCTGGAAGCTGCCACGGTTGCCTTCAGGGGGTCCTCAGTTGTCATAGCGCTGGCAGCCTCCGCCACCTCGGTTGTCAAAGCGCTTCTCAGAGGGTGGCCCAGCCTTGCAGCCTTCCTCTTTGTACGGCCTCAGTAGCTGCAGCTCAGTGAACAGAAGCTCATGGCGGAAGTCCCCATCATCTGGCAACGTGAAGCTGGCTTTCATGTCTAAGACCGCATGATCTGGGACGTGCTTCCCTTCCTCGTTGGTTCGCTTTATTGTTGGGTCTTTTAGGTCCGGTCAGTGGGACAAATTACAATAGCTTTGTGCTGGAAGCCTTCAAATGGTCTCATTTTTCGTCTCTTAAGGGTTTGTCTTATGCAGGATATAGTTGCATCTCTTGCGGGCAGCAATCTGGATGATCCGGTTGAGGCACCAGGTGGCCTGCTGGGTCAGGACGTCCCAGCTGCCAGCAGAGTCCCGCTGCTGGCCCATCACCTGCATCTTATCCATGATGGCACTGGTACCCAGGATGTTGTACTCCTTGGAAGGGTTGGAGGCTGCGTGTTTGATGGCCCATGTGGTCTGCCAGCAGCAGGCAGGCCCAGCATCATCAGAATCTCACATTCTGCCTTGCTCTTTGGTCAACTGTGCCCCGAGGTGTTCACTAAAGGGCGGGTGAGGGAGAACTGTGGGGATCGCTCCCGTGTGAGGCCCCTAGGAGATGGGCCTTGCCATACGGTGAGCTTGAGCCCGGACACAGATCCCCGGTTGGGGGAGTCGAGCTGAGGGAAAGCAGGAACCAAGAGAGGGACTATGCTATTCAAAATAATTAACAGACATTACTTTATGGATATGAGGACCTGGGAGGCATTGTGTCCATTTTCGGCTCCTTATGGTTTATTGCTTCATAGTGTTCATTTTTGGATCCTTGCTACATTAGTTATAAAATATTAACTTCAGTATTTACAATTGTTAAGTATTTACTGGGTGTAACTTACTTACTGGGCGTAACTTACTTACCTTGTGCTCTTCCTTTTACTAGTTCCCCAGAATTGTTTTCTGTTTCTTTTGTTATTTGAGAAATGCTTTGATCTGACGTAAACAACATTAAGTAGAAAAGTATATAATGGAACCTACTGCACAAATAAAATTGCTGCTTGGGCATAGCCCATCCAGTCCTCCAGACCCCGCTCTTTTCTTTCTCCTTTTTTTCTGCACACACTCTCTTCCAGGTTTGGGACCCTCTCGCTGGACGAGATTCCCGGGCTCACGTTCAGTTCCCAACAGGCGGGTGCTGGCTGAAGGTAACCCACAGGAGCACAGAACAGTAGGGCTCTGCCCTCTATCCGAAGTCAAACTCCACTGCGCAACTCTTCACCAGGACATGAGGATGGAGCGCCTGACCTCCCCCGAAGGCTTCCTTCTGGATTGGGAAGGCAATGCCCATCCACTTTTCCATTCTTGGTAAAGGAAAGTTCCACGTCATTTCCACATTAAAAGTCCAAATCACATCGTTCTCTGCAAACTTGTCTCCACAGTTTCAAACTGGCTATTGGCGGACTTCTTCCCAGTGCCTCCACAGCCGGAGGAGAAAGGCACTTCCCCTAGCTGGGTGCTGTAGGAATCCAGGGACCAGCTGATATGGACCACGTAGGGGTCAGGCTCTGTAGATGGAAGGTGCTTCCTGGAGATTTCCTCATTGGTCTTCATCTCAGAGCAACACAGCCCCTTCTGACCCCTTAGCTGGCTC